TCACGGAAAGAATAAGTGGCTTTAATGCAAGATGATCACATCGCTATATATACTTGAATCCATAATATACAAATGACCATTATATAGCAAAGAAATAGTTATTGAGGGAATGCACGACTATGCACGAATTGACACGAGCGGTAAACACCGAGTTTAACCAGCTTCAGAATTCGAACCCGAGTCTGAATCTGAATCTGAATCCGAGTCCGAGTCGGAATTTGAATCTGAATTGGATTCATCTGATATATCGATGAATTGTTGTAAAGCTACCGCATTCGTGCGTCGCAGTGACCGCCCGATCACTAGCATAGCAGGAGGTAGAAACCTACTATATAACATAATCAAATACCATCTCTAAAGTAGACTGAAATGCTTACTTGTCGATAATGGTGTTTGCAGCGGCGTTCGCAGTTACTTTAGTTGCCGCTTGCATGACCTCGTACGTTCTGGACAGAATTTGGTCAACAAAGATTGCCGAATGATCGATTAGAAGCATGTAGTATGCTATAGCAGAGGATGTAGGTCGGGAACGCTCACTCACTTTTTTCTGAGCTCCCTTTCTTTCCATTTTGCGCCGCCATCGGCCCATTCCTCCACTCCGTTGGACCTTAAGAGTTCTATGTGTTTTTGAACGGTGTTTGCAATAGAAAAGTTTGGAATGGGCTTTCCGCAGAGTGGGGTTCGACATATTGGACACGTCCGAAAGGTACTTTCTTGCTAGAAAAAAATGGAAGCAATTATTTAGCCTTCCTCAACTCTAAAGGGGCATAGTCACCTTGCTCAGCCAATGATTGATACAGTCGCCACAAAGAGAATGCCCGCATGGGTTTATAACCTGTGGTGCTAGGCTGTGGAATTGTTTGCATCATTCAGCACGCTGTTTCATACACTTACAAAAGTTCAAAACATCTGCCAACGATGAGTCAAGTTACGTAATTGATGAAGTATAACGGCTCACATTGAGCAACTGAGGTCTACTTCATAGCTGTCGAGGGCTACCCGAACCCTCTTCCTCGGTGAAGGTGAATTGCTGTGTGAAGTAGACCCTCCGTCGCGAGACATCTGCGCAGAGCGTTTTCGTGATTCCTTTTGTGTATCGTCAGGGGAATTTAGTCCTTCTAAAATGTCCATAGGGAATAATCCTTGCTTAAATTGGGCTGAGGAATTTCAGATAACGCTATACCCACCCAATATGCTTGATATTCGCTTTGCATTCTCAGGGTTCCGTCTTGAGACTATATTTCTACTGCTGTGAGTATGTACGTTATTGCGAGCAACAGAAGTCCGACCTTGTTCTTGTCAGTTGCTGGTAAGTGCATTTTGAAATATCACCTACTGGATTGCCCCGTATTACTTCCACTCGGATACGAAGATATCTGTCGATTAGTCGATGAACTAGGAAGGCTTGCGGGTGTCGCTACAATCGGGGAATCTGGATTGGTTGAAGGCGGCTCGTTTATTCTTGGTGTGTTGTCGAGAGTATGCGGTGTCCCGTGGTTTTCATTGATGGCATTTGAACCAGAGGAATCACGAGAAGAATCCACAGAATTATCGTTCAGTGCGGTTGAAGAAGGAGGCACATTGCTTGAAGAGACTGTGTGCTCTGTAACAGTGTGATGCCCTCCAACACTAGGAGTAACGGCGATACTAGTCGGTTCCTGGGTAACCTGAGCGGGTTGAGACGCCTGTTGAGTTGTTAAAGCTTGCCAGTCAGTCTCGTTGTCCCAGTAATCATCCTCTGAGGATGTCATGGCAGAGAGGAAGTTGACACCTTGACGCCACACACAATTCAAGCCAGGGATTTCCAGATAGCGTCAAAATCAGTTCTGGAAAATCATTATATGCATCATGTATTTACATTGATTAAGTTAGATGTGCGAATACATTAACTCCGAGGGATGGCTCAGTGCAGACGAATGGAAACGCCCTTAATGAAACGGTCGAAATACGATTTGGGATTATTTTGTATGATTATATTTGCTACAAATGCCGGTTGGTTTGTTTAGGACTTCTATCCGTTGCC